CCCCAAAACCCCAAAACCCCAAAACCCCAAAACCCCAAAACCCCAAAACCCCATGTTGTTTATATTTATTGAGTTAACTATAATAATTTAGATTTTTAATATGAGTTCGAAGGACAAGGCCACCCCAGAGGTATACAAGAAGGTTAAGACACTTGGAGAAGGCTCGTTCGGTAAAGCATATCTTGTAGAATGCCAAAGTGACAAGGTAAGATCTATATCAATTAAACTAGAATAGAGCAAAGCAGTTATCAAGCAGATTGACATCACCCAAATGTCTGAAGAGGAGAAGAAGGAAACTCTTGACGAAGCAAAGATCATGGAGCATCTCGCACACCCCAACATTATTACTTTTAGAGAGGTTTACAAGACAAAGAGAGGGAAACTCTGCATTGTCATGGATTACGCTGATGGCGGTGACTTACAAGGGTATTTGAGGAACTGAGGTGGATATTTAAAGGAAGATTTGATACTCAGCTGGTTTACTCAAATCTGTTTAGCTATAAAGCATGTACATGATAGGAAAATTATTCACAGAGACTTGAAGAGTCAAAATATTTTCCTCACAAAATCTAAATTAGTAAAATTGGGAGATTTCGGAATAGCAAGAGTTTTAAGTCATACGAAGGATATTGCAAAGACTGTTGTCGGTACTCCATATTATCTCTCACCAGAAATTATTGAAAACCAGCCTTACAGCTTCTCTTCTGACATCTGGTCTCTCGGAGTCCTCCTCTACGAAATGTGCTGACTGAAACCTCCATTCGATGCTGGCTCTCTGCATGACCTAGCCAAGAAAATTGTGAAAGGAAAGTACTCTTCCATTCCATCCAGATACAGTGACAACATGTCTCTGCTGATCGGAACACTTCTTAAAGTAGATCCGAACGATAGACCGAACATCAACCAGATCCTGAAGTTCCCGCTGATCAGCGACCAGGTTCCTTCAATCCTAGACGAAGACACTTTCAAAGAAGAGTTCTCGCACACAATCATCCACAACAAGATGTATTTCGAGAAGCCTGACAAGAAGGAGGACTCCAAGGAAGAGTCTAAGCTACCGTCCGTCCCGGAGGAGCCCAAGAGCTCGACTGCCGCCAGTGACGACGACACTGCTGAAGAGTACTACAAGAAGTATGTGAAGCAATTTACTTCGGATCCTTCTAGCAAATCAGGGGAAAGCGACGAGTCTTATTCCGGATTCTCTGCTGCGAAGAAGTAGGTACAAGTGTGAAAAAGAGTAGAATTGGCTAATTTGGAATAATTCTTTAGAATCTTTATCTAGTGCATGCGGTGCTGAATGGTGATTTCATGATTCTGTTCTTGTGTGATGTTCATAATAAGGTGATATTGGGGCTGTTAGCTGGGTTTTGAAATGGCTTAGGTAAATATGGGAGGATGATGGATTTGTGTTTGCTCTGAGGTGATTTTAAGATTGGTGAGAGTTCAAATGAAGTTGTTAGAAGATTACAATTTGGTAGAATGTTCTAGTATTTGATGATAAATATATTTTTCAATGAAAAAATAAAATAGGGGTTTTGGGGTTTTGGGGTTTTGGGGTTTTGGGGTTTTGGGG